CGAGGGTGGGGACCGCCGAGTGGGAAGACCCGATTGGAGCTCTGGTTGGGCGCCGCGCAGCAGGTGGCAGGGGAGAAAGCACCATTTTTTGTGATGCCAACTGCGATGCGATTTTGAACTAACTGATGTCATCGCGGCTGTCTCTATGCCATCACAATCACTACGATATCACTGTGATACACAGCACCATCACTGTGGTATCATCGATGGCCACGCTTAGTGTCCAAATAGTGGGAATGGGTACCCATCGCTACCGCACAGCTCATTGAGCTCCATTCCATTGCCTTTACCAGAGCTTTAACCATGCTTACAGGGTACTCTTAAAAGCTTAATGATAATGGTAGCTGTCTTCTATTGGTTGGGAACTGATGAGCACAGGTGCCAATATGCATCTGAGTGCTGTAAACAAAAACCAGGCTGCACAATAGACATCACATACGAGCACTCAATGCCCCTGTTCTTTCGTTTATTTTCTCAACCAGCACGACTTCTCAGATGCTTACACTAACATTTGTGGTTTCTTTGTGTTTCCTGCTGCTGCAATGCATTGTTCATCGAGAGACTTGCTGTCATCTCCATAGCATGATGCAAACACACAAGCATCTAATTCAGGAAACCAGCATACTGCTGCACATGGTTCATAACAGCGAGGGCCTTTTCAAGGGAACTTACATTCATTCGTATGTTCGTTGACGCCATTCGTTGTTGTTTCTCGTCGTGTTCAGAGACTGCTGCATCTTTCTCTGACCAGAAATCGCAATTCTTGTTTGGAGGACGATACCCATTGTATAGGAATCCGCAGCAGGTACAGTGCTGGTGTCACACAGCGTTGTGTCTTGTTAGTGCCCCACACAATAAAGTACCACAATACTTGTGTACCATGAACATGAACCTCAAATTGTTCTCCTGAAAGGGGTTGTTCTCTGCACAGATTGTCGCTGGTGCTGCTGAACGATCTTGGCATTTATTTCAGGGAGCTACGGATGGCCTGTGCTGGGTGAGTCAATCGAATACCTCAAGAACCAGCCTGCCTTTGCTCTGAAGCGCGTGGGCAAGCATGGCAACATATTCAAGTCCAGCATATTCGGTAGGAAATGCGTTTTCGTCACAGGCGTGGATGCTCTCAAGAAGGTGGGCAGCAGCTGCTTTATTTACGTGCTTGGGACACTGCCCCATGTTGTGCAGTGTTACTGCTGTGTTCAGGTTGTCGTGCACCATCTTCTACAACAAGGAGAATTCGCGCCACTCTGAAGGAGAGGAACATTGCCTTGATGTTGAAAGACAGTTTTTGTGACTCAGACATCTTTTGCCATTGCAATGGTCAATGGCAATGGTCAAGCTGACAATTGTAAGGTGCCTATTGCGTTTTCCAACAGTGTGTTCATCTAATGTATTTTAGAAGCAGACAGCACAGATAGATGCAGGTGTCATGATCCACAGATGGCAATAAGTCACATTTTTAGTGATGATACTGCTGTAACAGAGTTGCGGTTCTGACCACAGAAGCCATAGCATTTAGCAAAGCCAGGAACACGTCACAAATCAAGCGCCTTACTGCAAAGCGAGCTCTTTACAAGAGAGTTTCCATTGTCTACAGGACGCTCCCATAGTTTCCTCATGCCATAGGAAGGGTACGGATGGCAGCAGAGAACGGGGCAACTTGCGAAGGAATATACATTCAGCGGGGCTCATGAAAGTTACTGCAGATTCACGTATTCTCTTGAACTCAATTAGTGGCAGAACAGAGATTTGTGACAATGTACTGAAGTTAATTGCCATAGTACTGATGCTAAACCCCAAATATTGTCACGTCGTACGTCAATCTAATATGTCGATGTCCATATATGGTGCCTGCAAATTCGCCATGGAAATGTCTTGAGCACCACTTATCTGCCATAGAAATGTGGCACATTCCAGGCCTGCAGCGCTGTATTCAAAGGCACACGGTTTTATGGCAAGCAAGTAAGCCAGCGCATTGACGAAACGCTGGAATTTTCTTTGCTTGTGAGCGTGAGCAATGCGGTGTTTTATGCTGGAACAAATACAGTTAGTTAATGGACTGGAGAAGTTTTGTGAAAATTGGCGTGCTGTGCAGATCATTAAATTGGAGTCAAATGGCACTATCGCCATACGACCGGTGACACCAGGATTGCAGGTGTTTGGCCCCAACAGCATGCTGTCTCTCAATGGTGCGTACAGCCAAAAATGCAGTGACAAGCTCGCTACATCGATGGACGGGTTTTGTTGATAGGTATTGTGCCACAATGCTGTTACCCAATCAGCGTCAGCTATTGCAGCTGAGATATGCCAGGTGAACAAACGCGGATGTGTTTACAAGTATCCATAGTTGTATCCTTGTCTGTATCCATGTCCGTATCTGTATATAGGTACGAATGCGACTACAGCTTTTCCTGTAATTACAATTGAATATGCCTGTATTTTTATGTTGTGCTTGTTCAAATAATTCGGTGAATGTTACTGTGTTGGCTTCATTGGCGAGTGACTGTTGTTCCTATGCGACTGGGTTGGGCCTTTCTGGCCGATCCCTTATGGTGTGCACTTGCGATGCGGCGGTATATGTCCACAATTGGAAACCCGTTCGATGACTTTGTAACACGGCTGTGGTCAGTATTGGGGAGCGGACGCTGAGCATCAGGGCAAGGCTGCACTGTACGTAGTACATGCAGTCTCTTGATGAATTATGTGTCCTGTAAAATACAAGGTATCGTCCTGCGACAGCGATGCACACACGATTAATGGCAAAGCACATTGCCCTACGCACCGCACACACATGATGCATTTGTGCAAAGTAGCGCTAGTCAAATGACCTTGCATAAGGAGTTCCCGCAAGATTTATTGTCTCGTACTTCTGCTGATACTGATATTTGATGCTAGTGCTCAGCGGTACTAGAGCTTATTGCTGAGAGCTGTGGGCCATTCCACAAGTGAGTGTATGCAGATGTATAAATAATATTGCGCTATTTTTTGGACACCATCATGTTGCCATGCACTGCTTTATTCACTGGAGAATGATTAAAATTTGCGAGGCACTTGGAGTGCAACGGCACCGTGTTTGCAAAGCTGCGCAGCAGGCAGGAGCACATCTTTGCTTGCGGCAGTTTTGTGCAGCAATTGAGGCTTGTTGATCTTTCCAGTGCACCGCTGGTCTGAGGCCTTGGTGGACTGCTTTTGCACGTCACGTCGTCCTCTCCCCACAACAGCTGCTTGAGCTACATTATTTTGATCTTGTCGCAAACGACTGAGCCTAACTCGAAATGCGATGGTGCTGAGGGCAGGTACGGAACACGATCGCCTGAGAAGGCTACTCTACTCGGCGTTCTCCAGAGACACCTTGATGTCCTGCCTTCCATTTATCCTGGACACCGCCAAGGAGGCCTGCGCCAAATTCGAGGGCAGGGGATACTTCCCAATGCATAAAGAGGTATAATTTCCATCTCAGAGCTTCCAAGTTGGATCGAAGAGCGATGGCATGGCCGGCAAGGCCAATATCGTAACGGCGAGATAGCGATCGTATGAGAAATACCTTCTCTGTCAGATCAGCCAATGCCGCGTGACTAGTGTCCTGCTCACAAACAGCATAGAACGAAATTGCGCGGTCAAGAGCGCACGCGCTTCGTTGAGTTTTCTCAAGTATTCTCAAATATTCTCAACTATGTTCTCAAATACCGCATATTGCAGTCACTATGCAACATTATTCTGCAGCCCTCCAAATTAAGCTATAGACTGTTACACTCGCTTCGCAACTCGTACATTCGATTGACCATTTGGTATTGTACTTCCGTTGAGGCCGAGGCGAAACGACAACCACAGAATTCGGTATCGAAATATTCAAATGAACGTAAGATGTGTGATTCAGAATGCACCTCAATAGTGTGCTCCATTTACACTCTGTCATTTGGCGTGAAATGCTGTATTTAAGTTCAACAATGTACTGTGTTTGTATTCTTTCAAATGCTGCATCTCTGTTATTCCAAATGCATTCAAGGGTTTCTGTGCGCTCCAGTTTAAACGTTTCGCCTTGAGGGTCACCGCGAGCGCGGTCCTCGGGATGGAGTCACAGAGATCATGGGACGAGGTCCTTGAACTCCTTATCACCATGGGATTGGGGATTTATTCCCTAACGGACATCAGATTGCCATTCACGGATTTCGGAAAAGCAATGGACAGCCGGGAGGAGCTTCTTGACATCATTGCAGATTCCATACGTGAAATGGAGGCTGGGAGCCCTGAAGACGGGGCGGGCGTCAGAGTCATGCGCCAAATCCTGGATGCGAGAGACGAGGATGGCAATGGGCTTGAAATGCCGGTCATCCTGGACAATTTGATTCTCATCCTGTGGGCTGGTAAGACGCTACCATTTACCATGTTCCACCGTTTCATATGGAAATCATGATTGGTGCATTGTGAAGAAAGGGCGCACATACTGATGACATTGACGGCGTTGTTGTGGCTCCCTTTTCAGGTTACAGTGGCGTTTTACTTTGCTCGCTCCACACGGGCGGAATACTACTAACAATGCTTGACTAGTGATAGTAATCAATGGTGTGCGCTCAATAATGTTGCGCTGATGGTCGACGTCAGTATTATGTAGTTGTTGCATACTGAAAGAGTGCGAAAGTTGATCCCAGCTGTCCTTAAACTATGGGCAGAAATTGGTGAATGCTCCCAGATAAAGCAGGAAATTATCCACTTCAGTTATCATCAACTGTTTTCAATTCCAGTATATTTGGAATGGCCCATGACAAATCCATGGGATCATTAACAACCACAAAAATGTTCTGAGTTAATTCATCGAGGACAATCATCTCAATTTTCTACAACAGCCGACATGTTAGATATGTGAACAAGCTGCAAATTGCCACCTGAATTGCAGAAGGATTGATGCGGTTCAGGCATCTATTTGGTGACAGACAGCAAGCACAAGAAAAGCAAAATGAAGAGTAGCCTTGAGCACGTCAAATGTGAACATACGAGCTCTCCGTAATGTGCTGAGAATGTGTTGGAAATATATAACATTAGTTTTGAATGCAGCTTCTTCTTAACGTGGCCCTCCTCCGACTGGTCAATTCTGCTGGCGTGCTCACCACAGCAGCTTTAGGTTTTTCATCGAGGTACACAACAAACTTGCTGGTGACACATACTGGTGAGATATATTCACGGCGTCGAACTATGACGCTTAGAGTCAAACGTTCCGCCCTTGATTATCTGTTTAAATGGTGTGGATGGTGCCAGGGTACGACACATTCAGCTCGACAATGGACACCATTCTACACGGACTGGCGCGTAACCCACAGGCAAGTGGACTGGAAAGCGCGCAGCGCCTCTGAGCACAGCATTCTAAACGATTTGAATTGTGTTTGCCATCTACGCTTCACTCCCACAGAAAGGGTTTTTTTTCTTTCCTTGACATCTTGCTCCACGATCGTGCATGGGGCCTAATAGCAATGTGTGCTGCAGTCTGCGTCGCAACTTTTCGGGGGCGAGAATATCGTGGATGCAAATCATTCTCGCCCAGTTTCCACTGGGCACAGCTAACTGCGTGCATGTGCGCAGTCTGCTTGGTATTCACGCCCACCATCGCCTATCAGGTGCATGGGCTGTGTTTTGTCATTTTCTGACAAATGAAGTCGATGGAATTAACGACGATGATGTGCACAGCTTTGGGACCAACTGCGCGAGGAGCAGAGGCAAGTGATGGAGTCGTTTGGTGAACAAATCACCCTGAGTCCTTGGCGGCAATGCCGTACACGGAGGTCGTCGTGAAAGAGGCTCTTAGGTCAATGCCGTCGTTGCAGTTCATGGTGAAGTACGCCGCAGAGAGCTTTGAGCTAGAAGGCTTCCGAATTCCGAAAGACTGGCAGGCGAGTGCTTCACAGACAAGTTGGCTTTGCAAAGCTCCACGTGGAAACCCCAGTAGAATACCGTAATTGTTTCAGCGGTGTGGAAAATGCTTGTTTTGCCAATTGTTTCCTGGCAGCAAGTGGCCCATGTACACATCTTTGCATTGATTTTCCATGTGCACTGCAGAAAACACGTCGCTTGCAGCCAGCCAAACACCACCGGAGCGACCAACTGGCATTGGGTTAATGCATGCATGTCGTGTGCTCTCACGTGTGAGTCTTCTACTCTGCATCCGCATGACCTCTTTCAGACTCCCACTAGATTCGTGTGAGCGATGCTGCGCAGGTCTTTTTCGGCGCCAGCTTCACTATGCGGCACCTGGACAAAACTTGGAGCGACCCGGCCACGTTCCGACCCGAGCGCTTCCTGGAGCCGGGAGCCGACAAGTTTGCCGCGTTCTACCCGTTCGGCATGGGGGCCCACATGTGTCTGGGCAAGGAGCTGGCGCTCATTGAGACGAGGGTCATGCTGGCGCTGCTGGCGCGGGACTACGAGGTCACACTCAAGGACCCCGACGCCCCGGTGGACATGTTTCCCACCCCGCACTCCGCGGACGGGTGTGTGGCCATGGTGCAAAAGCTCTCCGCAACACAGAGCTGACTGAAGCCTTAGCATTGATTGGGTCAGGCTTCGGCTCTCTAAGAATATGAAAGAGTTTAGAAATGCACCGTGGCGGTGTGAGTGTGGCGGCAGCTGTGGTGACTGTGCTCAGCAGGCATGGCTGATGCGGTGCGGGTGCAGCCCCTGATGTTGTGCAGTGCGGCGCTCGTTCGCCTGAAAAGGAAATTTGGTATTGCTTCCTTTACCTAAGAGCTTCTGTGTTTGGGATGCACGATGATAGTGTGAATTCATGCGATACGAGAGGCAGAGTTCTGAGAAGAATCCTGGCGGCACGAGCTCAAAAATGGCTACACCATAGGTATTTTTGTCGAGCCCTGATTTTCTGGTAGGCCTGGCAATTCGATCTTCGGTTATTTATTACATCGCTGGAAGAACGTGCGGCGTTTCTGAGGAAGTTGGCACAGTTGCGGTCTCGCGGCGATTGAGAGGTGGATTGGTGACCATCCTCGGGCATTTGAGGAAGGGACAACTGTCGGTCAGAATGATGTTGCTCACTTTTGTAGATGGCCTGAAGTGGCTGCCCTTGTGTTGATGGGATGTTGACCACTGCGATGGGGGAGGTTTGAGCTCGACTGGTATATACAACAGACGGTTAGTTCATGGCTTTTTAATTAGGGAGGCTTTGAAAGTCTCTTTGCATGCGCAGGGCATTCCGGGTAGTATCGGCAGCTATGCATATTTCTGGCAGCCTGTCTTCAATGCGGTTTGAACTCTCTGGCCTGCTGTATGAGTTTCAAAGTGGGCGAAGGGGTCTGTTGGAGTCTTGCCACGTTGGAGTTTTGCCACGAGTTTCAGCGAGAGCCAAGGCATTCGCTCTGTTGGGGTGTGCTAGTGGGCTTTCTTGATATGCTAGTGGTCTCACGACTTGAGGGGCGCCCAAAGACCGCCACCTGTCTTGTATTGCTCCCAGCGCCCCAGGCTTGTTATTCACGTCTACGTTTACGTTTTCACGCCTGAAAATGTAAATTTGCAAAAGAAGCTATTTTGGCGGTTGTTTTTACAATTTTCATGGCTCGTTGCGAGTGTGCAAAACGAGCGGAGCTTTGTACAGCAAACTCGTGATTTTGGCCGACCGCTGGCCGCTGACTGCACGCTGCCGACCGACCGGTGCGCACACACCGCCCCCTTCCCGGGCTTCCTACTTCCACATGCCGCGCGGGTGGCACGCGGCTCGGATGCTGGCTGGCCACATGCCACCCATCCCCAGGCTTCCTTGCGCCTTGCACCGCGTGTGGCATGGGGTCGACCGTGTATTCACACCCAATGGGTGTGGAGATGGCATCCCCACACTTCGTGGACCAGTGCGTGGCGCACGAGGGTGTGCACATAACGGGTCTATGTCGCGCGTTGCACATCGCATCAAGGCTCATTAAAGTCGTTTAATAAACGCCATGGAAGGAGGTTTGCGAAGCACATGCGACGTTGGGATGAGGCGGTCCAGCGGCGCACCGTGGGCGCCAACCAGCCTCCCGCTGGCTTCCCCCGGGTTTCCTGTGGTGGCGCATAGAGCCCGTTACCTTGGGCTTAGGCATGACTATGGGGGGGGGGGGGGGGTCCGGGACACCTCCGTTGCCATGCGTCATGTGCGCGGCAACGTCTATGGTGACCCTCCCATGCCGTATGGCCCCACACCCACGCGCGGCAGACGGGTGCCACACGGGGTGGACGCCGACCATGCACACGCCCCCCCATCACGCAGCTTCTTTGACCGGCGCGCTGCGCGCGAGCGACGCAGCGTGCAGCATGGCCGCCGACCGGCCACAGACGCCCCTTCCCCCTGGCTTCCTTGACCGGCGCCTGGCGCGCGGCTTGGCCGCCGACCGCCTACTCACAATCCATCCCCCCCCGGGCTTGACCTGCGTGCGGTGCGTGGTCGCCGCATGCCGTGGGCGGCACCCAGGCCTCCGGGTTTCCTCCGCTGGCGCCCGCGGTATGGTGGGATTGCGCACGATAAGGGGAGGAGGGGGTCTGGGACACTTCTGGTGCCATGCACCGTGTGTGCTTGGTCACTTTTTCGCGTTACGCATGCAGCCGCCATGGCATCTGCGTTACAAGGCATGGGTGGAGAAACCCTCGACAGGGGCTGTGCGTAACCTTTACCAGGGACTGGGGAGGGGGGGAAGGTTCAACAGGCTACGTCAACCAGGAGGGTCTCGGGTGAGTGGACGGCTGTGGCATTGCCACCGCCTACGGCCTTGGCCCGAGTAGCGTCTGGAAGGGGGGACTGGGGTGAGATGTAGGGGTTGGGGGGGAAGCCAATTCGAACAAACCTGTTCATGGCGATCGATGCAACCGGTCGCTCCCTGCGATGTTCATCTCGAGCAAGCTGGGCGGCCGCTCCAGAGTACCTCTCAGCCATAGACTAGGACGAGTAGCATGGTTAGGAGTTGTTGGAGTGGGGGTGGGGGGCAGGCCGGCGGGCGGGGGCGTGTTCAAATGTGAAAACTGCGTCCGCTGCGATTGACCCAAAGGATCGATTGCCGTGGTCGTTCACTTCAGAGAGGCTTGGCACCCTCGCTGCAGCGCTTGGAGGCGCCTCCTTGGCCGCCGATTGGAAGCGAGTGGCGTTGGGGGGTGGTGGTGTGGATGGGGTGGGGTGGGGGCGCAGGGAAAGTTCAAATTCTGTTTGTATCGATCGACCCAATGGGTCGATTGGTGTGACCTTTCACATCAGAAAGGTGTGCTGACGTTCTTGGGGCCCCAAGAATGCCCGGGCGTGCAGCTTTGAGCGCAGCTTTGGCACTCGCTGTTGCTCATAAGAAAGTAGTTGTGGATGGGTGGTTTGGGGTTTATGGTGCCAAACTTGCAAGCTTCCTGCGAT